CTGTCTAGTGAGGTCTGTGATGATCCTCTTAAAATACATAGAGTTACAAAGGGAATCTGTTAGATTGAAATGCCTATCAAAACATTGAAAAAATGAATGTGTGATGTAGTAATAAGTTTCTTTATTAATACATTAAATACTAGGATCTAGGGGCGCCTGGGTGGCTCAGTCGGTTGAGCGTCCGACTTTGGCTCAGGTCATGATCTCACAGTTCGTGGGTTCGAGCCCCGCATTAGGCTCTGTGCTGACCGCTTGCTCAGAGCCTGGAGCCTGCTTCAGATTCTGTGTCTCCTTCTCTCTCTGCCCCTCCCCCATTCACGCTTTGTCTCACTCTGTTTCTTAAAAATAAATAAATGTAAAAAAAAAAATTAAATACTAGGATCTAATGTCAGACTAAAAACTAATTTCAAATAGTGATGAGTGTTACCAATGAATCAAGATTTCTGCAGCCTCTCTGACATGATATGAAAATGTCTGTGATTTCTATTGGTGATGAAGTCCTAGGTGCCCTGTCATACTACTGATGGCTTGCTGCCTCCATTCAAAATCAAAGGGAATGCTAAATTTCAGTTAGAAGTTAGAGAAAATGAACACGTAACTTCTCTTTCATCCAAGTTCACAGACCCTCTCAATTCTGTGTGAGGACCCCATGTTAAGAACTGCTGGATTAGATGGAGCCAGCAGGAAAAACACATCCTTAAAGAAGGGGGAGCTTGCTTAGAGTAAGGCAACTCTGCATTTTTAAGGTAAATGTGTGAAATAAGGAAGAATCAGTAGCTTCCCGGTGAAACTGGAAAAACCATTTAAGAGACAGTTGGGAAAATATTAATACTGAAACATAAATAGTTGATAGTAAGGGATTATTGGGGTATTTAGGTATGGTTAAATTGTAGTTAAAATGGTTTTCTTAGAAATACATGAATCTGTATACCTCAGTTAAGATGTCTTGGATGTGTGGGGTGCCTGTGTGGCTCAGTGGGACAAGTGTCTGACTGGATTGCAGCTCAGGTCATGGTCTCGTGGTTCGTGGGATCGAGCCCAGTGTCAGGCTCTGTGCTGACAGTGCAGAGCCTGCTTGGGATTCTCTCTCCCTCTCTCTCTTTTTCTCAAAAGAAATAAGCTTAAAAAAAAAAAAAAAAAAAGGCTGTCTTGGATTTGCTTAAAACGATTGGAGATGAGAGTAGAAAAGTAGAGGTGTGACAAGACTGATAACTGTTGAAAGTGGATGATGGATAGATGGAGCCTCATTAAGCCATTTTTCTGCATTTATATGTTTGAAATTATCCATAATAAAAAGCTTTTTAAAGGTAGATAAAATTAGCCATCTGCAAAGAGTCAGTACTTGGGGGGACTAAGAATTTAGGCAGCAGCACTCAAGGTGAAGACACCTCATACATTATTTCCCGGAAGTATGGTAAAAAATGCTGCTGCAGCAGTTTAATACAGCTTCATCTTTGTGGAGCGCTCCAACTAAACCAAGTCCTAAGGAGGGAGGCGGTAAACGGTGAGCTTAAGAATCACTGTTGATCTAAGTGAATGCTGATGCCTCCCGGACCCAAGAGAAAGAGACATTAGGTTAGGGGAGGGGGGAGACCTCCAGGATTTTCCATGTCCAAGAACAACATTCCTCTAGTAAGTGTGATCCATGGACCACTCGTACTAATATCACCTGGGGTTTTTGCTAAAAATGCAGAATACTGGCTCTACCCCAGTCTCACTGACTCAAAACTTTAGGGGAAAGGGGCCCAGGTTCCTATAGTTTAATCCCCCAGATGAATCTTAACACATGTAAAGTTTGAAAACTAACTGTAGGTAGAGATGAGAATACCTTTTATCGAGCAGTTGTACCATATGCCAGATACCACGCCAAACCCTTCACATTCTTTTTAATCTTACAGCAACCCTTGTGAGGTAGGTGATGAGGAAATCTCACCTTAGAAGAATTAAGCTACTTGCCAAAGGTCACCTGATTAGAAGTGGTAAAGTGTAACTTCAAATTCTGATCCCAGAGCCTATGCTTTTAGCTATGGCAGCCTCCCACCAGGCTCTTTTCGCTGATCCAATGCCCACCACAAGATTTCTGTGAGAATTGAAAAAATTACAAAGCAGATGTGTCCTACAGAGGATGTGAATATTCTAGTCACCGGGCAGAGACCGCTCCTATTGTAAATTAATACTTAGTGTCTGGTCTATGTGTTACCTTTTTTTCAGGTTGTTGTGAATCCTCCCAAAGAATACTTAAGGCCTCTACTTGATATAAAAGCGGCTTGCAAAATTTCTGTAGCTATTGTATGTATTCCTGTATTCTAAACCTTTGTTCCTAAGAGATTGAATACCTTCCCTTCATTGACGGGACCTACTAGGACATTGCTAGTCAGAGGGCAGGGTTAAGGCCCGACTCCTGGAGAAGCTGGTGGGGGTGGAGGGAATGAAGAATAAACACAAGGTTTTACAGGGACTGCTCTGTGCTCACTTACCTTATTTAATACTTCAAGCCCTACAAGATAGGTTAGTAACCGATCCACAGTTCCTTATTTTCAATTCCAAACCCAAAAGGCTCTGTAAAATAAGATTTTTTTCTTAAGTTTACAGCAGATTCATTTGGCAGCAAACTCTGAGCTAAACTGCTGTGAGGCTGTTTTATGATCCTTATTCATACTTTTTGATGCAGAAATATTAATGCTCAAGGGGTGCCTGCCTAGGTGGCTCAGGTCATGGTGGTTTGGGAGTTCTAGCCCTGCATAGGAGCCTGCTTGGAATTCTCTCTCTCCCTCCCCCTCTCTCTGCTCCTCCCCCATTTGCACTCTCTCCCTCTTTCAAAATAAGTAAATAAACTTTAAAAAAAGTTTAAAATATTAGTGTTCAATTATAGGGTGCTGCCCATACCTCACTGAGGATGCTATAAAGTGTATGGTGTGTGTGCCATGTTGTTCTAAAATTTAAATAATTTTCTAAAACATTTTTGGCCCCAAGAGTTTCAGATGAGAAAGTTGAAGTTAGGAGAGTTAAGTGTTTTCTCAACACCTTGCTACCAAGTTATATAATTAGATATAAAAAGGTCACATAGGGGCACCAGGGTGGCTCAGTCAGTTAAGCATCTGACTTCCGCTCAGATCATGATCTCCCAGTTCATGAGTTCGAGCCCCATTTCAGGCCCTGTGCTGAAAGCTCAGAGCCTGGAGCCTGCTTCAGATTCTGTGTCTCACTCTCTCTCTCTCTCTCTCTCTCTGCCCCTCCTCTGTGTGCTCTCGCACACACTCTCTCAAAAATAAACAACTAAATTAAAAAATAAAAAGGTCATTTATGCTTTGTTTTTCAACTTTGCCACATGGTCGTTTAAAGAGCCCACTGAAAATCATTGAGCACGTTCTTTGAAGGAAATCTATCAGCTCTGCAAATACATTTGTACAGTTGACCCTTGACAACACAGGTTTGAACTGCATTGGTCCATTTACACAAGAATTTTTTTTTTTTATATAAATACAGAACAATACTGTAAAAGTATTTTCTCTTATGATTTTCTTTACATTTTCTCTAACTTCATTGTAAGAATATAGTAGATAGTATATACAACAGACAAAATATGTGTGTTAATCAACTGTTGTCAGTAAGGCTTCTGTCAACAGGCTATTAAAGTTTGGGAGAAGTCAGAAGTTATACACGGATTTTCAACTGTCTGGGGGTCAATGCCCGAAACCCCTGTGGTGTTCAAGCATCAACTGTATAGTTGTATAAAAAGCCCAAGAAAAGTGTTTTTAAGGTCCATTTAGAAAGCAGTCTTAGCTGTACCAGAATAAATAATCTGGTATTTTTTTATGAGTGAGGAGGATTGTGGTGATAACTTTTCTCACAGCATTAAAAATAACAAGAGTCTTTGAATCCTGGTAAGCTAAATATCTCTTTCTGCTTAAATCAGTGTTATTTTCCCTATTTTTTGGTCCAGGATAGCTCATTTAGAGAAGAAAATTTGATTTTTTTCCAAGCAAAAAATCATCTAACATTCTCTAAAGAGAGAAAAAATACATGGTCTTTTTGCTTAAACATTGATCATGTGTTCCATACTTTTTTCTCTTGTGGGATTATCAGGCTCCCTATAGATTTTCATGTCGAATCTTAATTTTATGTATGTATTGTGCTTTGTAAGCGTAGATCAGCCTTATATGATAAATAGGATGTTGGTAAGCATTAGGGGAAGTAAACATATAAAGGATGGCCTATGTTTATTTCCTCTTAGGTACTTTAATTGGGATTTAAAGTTTTTTTCATAAAATGAACCTGTAGTATTGTGGCATAATAAAAATCATAGATTTGATTTTGTCTCCAGTTCCTGGCACAGAGCTTCTAAAACCCTTGGAATATCCTGAGTGATAAGATGGGAACTGGTTGCCAGAAGGAACACACCCATGTTATTAGAGGGTTAGAACCATCAGTCCAACCCCCAACCTCTGGGGAGGGCACTGGGGCTGAAGATTGAGTTCAGTCACCAATGCCAGTGATTTAATCAGTCATGCCTATGCAGTGAAGCTTCAGGAAAACCCTGAAACCAGAGCACATCGATGTGCTGGGAGGGCGATGTGTCTGAAGAGGGCGTAGAAGCACCACTCTGCACCCCCATACTTTGCCCTATGCATCTCTCCCATGTGCTCTTCCTGAGTTGTTCTCCTTTAAAGCAGTCAGTGTAAATACAGCGATTTCCTGAGTTCTGTGAGTTGTAGTGAATTACTGAACCTGAGGGGAGGTCATGGAAACCCTCATATTTATAGCTAGTTTGTCAGAAAGAAGTACAGGTGGTCTCTGAGCCTTGCAATTGGTGTCTGAAGTGGGGCAGTTTCATGGGACTGAGCCCTTCCTAACCTGTGAGGTCACTACAGGAAGGTAGCGTCAGAATTGAATTGTAGGCTACCCAGTTGGTGTTAGCGAATTGGAGAATCGGTGTTGGGACGCCGCAGGTGTTTTATCTGCCTAGTGTGTCACCTGGTCACAATCATCTTCTCTTACAGTATCTGACCAAGCAGGTGGAGCTCCTACGGCAGATGAATGAGCAACATGCAAAAGTTTATGAGCAATTAGATATAACAGCACGGGAACTGGAAGAAACCAATCAAAAGCTAGTTGCGGACAGCAAGGCCTCACAGCAAAAGATTCTGAGGTAAATTTTCTAGAATCCATTGAGGAAGCCCTAGGGTAAGTCATTTAGTATAAACTAGAATAGAACTTGCACATAGAGGGTTTGGGTCAACACGGGGTATGGTTTAACTTAATTCTTTATGGAGAATAGAGATTAAGTAGAAGTCCTTTCCAATTAAGAAAACCCAGTTTGAGTGGCTGGCGACTAATCTCTCCTCACTGCTTATGCCCTTAATTTAATATGACAGCAGCAAATGGCTTCTATCTGTTCCTCACAGTCTGACTGAAACCATCGAATGCCTACAAACCAACATTGACCACCTCCAGAGCCAAGTGGAGGAGTTGAAGTCATCTGCCCAAGGAAGAAAGAGCCAGGGGAAGTGTGACCAGGAGAAATCGGCACCCAGATTCTCGTGTCTGAAGGAACTCTACGACCTCCGCCAGTAGGAGTCTGCCTTTCTTTGTCATTTATGAGCAGGGGGACATCTCATGTCAGGGACACATACTGGATCCCAGTAGATTAAAAGTACCCTTTTAAGAAATGCCACTTGGTTATTAGACCACCAGTGGTTTGAACAAAACCACTTAACTTAAACATATGATGGATAGAGTTCTTGAGTCTTGGTAATTCTGCAAAAGCTTATTTTTGGAAGTCTTGGGAGTGCTCACTTCAGTGCGTTTCATGTGTTAAGTCTTCATTTAAATTAAAATGCAGTACTTGTGATAGACTACAGATTTGGGGCTGTACCTCACATTAGGGTGCAAAAAATTGAAATGTCAAAACAAGTTTTTTGTCTACAGAAATGCCTTTATAATTTGGAGTTAAGAGACTGAATCTTTAAGGACTATTTCTTGAGCACCTATTGTATGGCAGGTGCTATGCCAGACATGAGTGGTGAGCAAAATAGACACCATTGCTCCTGCCCTCACACTTTCACTCTCAGGGAGGGGCAGATACAATCATCACAAAGATAAACCCAGTTACAAGTTGCCCAGGACCCTACACAGGAGAGAGACCAGCTTCTGCATTTTGGTAGTTTTCAACCTTGACCCTTCATCAAATCACTTTGGAGTTTTTCAAACTGCAATGACAATGAGGCCCTTAGGCCTGAATTAAAATCTCTAGGTGCAGGTAAAAAGCTGTCCATATGATTCTGATGCACAGCCAAAGTCGAGAACCACGGGGCCATTCTAATTTCCTTGAAAGATATCCATCATACTGGTGGGCTTTGAGAATAGGTGTTCTGAAGTACTTTTAATGGTTAAAAAAAAAAAATAGTCACAAAAATTATGTTTTCTTACATGTGTTTATTTGCCAGCCTTACATAATTTCGTGTTAGCCACTGCCCTAGTACGGAATAGGCAAATAAATAAATAAATAAATAAGATAACCGTCAGAGTTCCTCAAAAATACTTAGTTGGAAAAAAAAAATCAATCTCTTTTCATTCCCAGTCAACCTACATAATATATTCTTTCAACATTTTTCTCCTAGACACTTTGTGTATGATCATGTGTTTGCCGAGAAGATCACTTCCTTACAAAGTCAGCAAAGCCCCGATGAGGAAGAAAATGAGCACTTGAAGAAAACAGTGACGATGCTGCAGGCCCAGCTGAGCCTGGAGCGGCAGAAGCGGGTGACGATGGAGGAGGAATATGGGCTTGTGCTGAAGGAGAACAGTGAACTGGAACAGCAGCTGGGAGCCACGGATGCCTACCGCGCTCGGGCGCTGGAGTTGGAGGCCGAGGTGGCCGAGATGCGGCAGATGCTGCAGTCAGAGCATCCATTCGTGAATGGCGTTGAGAAGCTGGTGCCGGACTCTCTGTTCACCCCTTTCAAAGAACACAGCCAGAGCCTGCTGGAGGAGCTGTTCCTGCCTTTGCCAGAAGCACACAGAAGGCCTCTTAAGCGCAGCAGCAGTGAGACGGTGCTGAGCAGCTTGGCCGGGGGGGACATTGTGAGGGGCCACGAGGAGACCTGCATCCGGAGGGCCAGGGCTGTGAAGCAGAGGGGCATCTCCCTTCTGCATGAAGTGGACACTCAGTACAGCGCCCTGAAGGTGAAGTATGAGGAGTTGCTGAAGAAGTGCCAGCAGGGAGAGGACTCCCTGTCCCACAAGGCTGTGCAGACCCCCAGAGCTCTCGCCAAAGACCTGGCGGGGACCAACGCCCAGCCTGAGCTGGGCACCAGCGGCTGGGAACCAGCCTCTGTCACCCCAGAGCCCGTCAGTTCCCCCACCACCACAACACCTCCGGAATACAAGGCGCTTTTTAAAGAGATCTTTAGTTGCATCAAGAAAACAAAGCAAGAAATAGATGAACAGAGAACAAAATACCGATCTCTCTCCTCTCATTCCTAATTCAACCTCCAGCTCTACTACTTATTTGCTCGTTTCCTTTCACCTCTCTCTCCCACTCTGACCGGTGTCTGTAAACCCCATGGCCACGTGGCTCATGACGTTTGCCTCGCTGTTTTGCTTACTAAGCAGCCAACAGCAGGGAACGAAGGTGGCTGCTGGTGTCAGTTCTATAACCCGGTTCCGTTTAAGCTCCTCAGGAAATCCCGTGACAACCTGGCCTCTGGCTGGTGCACTGATTTGTGTTGTGATTCCTTGAAAAGCCCCAGAACCAGTGGAGGGATAGATGTGTGTTCCTAGAGAAGTAGGCCTGGAGTCCCTATATATGTAGTATATAGAGAGTGTATAGTATACTGGGGAAAAGGGCAGAGTTGAAACAAAACTAAGGCGACTCCTACTGCCTCCTCGCTTCTCAAAACTGTGTAGGAGTCAGATGGCTGCCAGCCTGAAATGGCTTCATAAACACTGTTGTATACTGTGAACTCGTTAAGAAGAATGTCCAGGAGAAAGCAGGGTCTAATCCAAAATCAATGGCATTAAAAAATACTCCAAGCCTTGAGTTTGGTTACATCTGCTACCAGTTGAGCTGTGACTGACAAGGAATCATAATATGTCTAAATCCAACTGATACCAAACTGAAAGGCAAGCTCTGGTTTGACCTTTGCTGTTACCATCTTGCTAGCTTATGAGCATAGGCCCTGGAGGGCCCCCACCCCCACCTTCAGATGTTTTTACTCAAAGCTATAGTGGTTAGCATAGGCAAATATGTAAATCATTCTTAAAGTCAGACTAAAAAAGCAAGATCAAACCCCTCACTGTGTTGTCCAAGCTGGCTAAGCTGACAGCCACAGGCTGCCCTTGTTCAGTTCCTGTCATTCCTATAAATGTTTTTGACTTGCTGCAGAAATTCCCATTTGCTACTTTATTAAACAGTATTGTTCTTTGGGAATCTACTCATCCTCTCACTTTGCATACTTTTAATTTAAAACTATTTAAGAGAACTGAAGTTCCACTTACTGTATATATTTTTTCTAAAAACCAAATAAAACTACCTGTGAAAATGAACAAATGGATCACTTGCTTATTTTAAGCTGAAGCCATTTTAATGTTCTAACCAACTGTTCCATTTTTTTCTTCCAACAGATATCTCTGAGATTTGATAATGATTTTTTAAATTTCTATTCCCTGTTCTTTGGGATTCTTATGTTAATGTGTTCATTAGAATTACTATATGATTGAAAAATATTTTCAAATGTATATACTTTATATAATCACAAGTTTAGAAATGTCAGACCTGGTTCTGAATTAATAGCATTTGACTCAAAACATTTGATTATTCAATCCTAGGAAAGACTTACAATATTTAAAAACTAAAGTGAGCCCTGAATCTGAATTTTGCTTTTGGATTATTTAAAAAGGGGTAAAATCCTCTTTTGAGACAGCACAAAGAGTTTGTGAAGTAAGTCATCTTGTTGTCCTGACCTCCCAACTCCTCTCCCCAGGATCAACTAGTTACCAGTTTCTTGTATATTCTTCCAAAATATTCTGTGCATATGTTATTACGTATGTTTATATCACTCCCTATTTCTAAGCAAAAGAGTATACCATAAACCTTCACTGTATCTTCCATTTTCACTGAACCATGTATCTTTGAAACATTTATCTGACCATTTACATTCTTTATGATAGTACCGTAGTATTACATCTATGGACATAGATAAACTCCATATGTATATTTAACCAATGTGGACAGCGAGGAAACAAGAAGGCTGGTGTCAGTGTTACAATCCAGTTTTGTTTAAGCTCCTCGGGAAATCCCACAACAAACTGGCCTCTGGCTGGTGCACTGATGTGTATATATGCACATATACACACATCATATCACATATATATCCTATCTATGTATATATGAGAATTCATTTAAGTAATCCCTGTATCTTTGGACGTTTTTGAATCTAGAAGGTACATCATTAGGAGTGAGGTAAAAGAGGACATTCTGCTCTTACCATCTTGCAGAAGTTTACTCAACCTTGCTCCCCAATATAGGAGGATGCCTAGTTGCTCACACTCGTGCCAGTAAACTTTTTGACCTTTGCCAAACTAATGGAAGAAAAGTGAGATTTCCTTGTAGTTTAATTTATTAAGGTTGAATATTTTGTGATCTGTTATGCCATTTATGTTGTCTTTTGCCTGTGTTTCTTATTTAAGAGCTCTAGCATTTAGAAAATTCACTTTGCAATTAGAAATCACAAATCTTTTGTTTGTCTTAATTTTACCTTGTTATTGGCATTTTGTCAAGCAAAATTTTTATGTGGTTATGTTAATCTTGTAACTTTTCCTTTTTGTGTTTGACAGGTGTTTGATCCATCTGAACTTCATTTATTTTTCTTTTTTTAAATTGTAAAAAATACACATAATAGTTATCTTAACCATTTTGAAGTGTGTAGTTAAGTGGTATTAAATACGTTCACATTCTTTTTTTTTTTTTTTTTTTTTTTTTTTTTAAATTTTTTTTTCAACGTTTTTTATTTATTTTTGGGACAGAGAGAGACAGAGCATGAACGGGGTAGGGGCAGAGAGAGAGGGAGACACAGAATTGGAAACAGGCTCCAGGCTCTGAGCCATCAGCCCAGAGCCTGACGCGGGGCTCAAACTCACGGACCGCAAGATCGTGACCTGGCTGAAGTCAGACGCTTAACCGACTGCGCCACCCAGGCGCCCCAATACGTTCACATTCTTATGCAACTGTCACTACAATTCATCCCCATAACTCTTTTGATTTTTAAACATGAAACTAGGCCAATTTAATAATAACTCCCTATTCTTTCCTTGGTTCGTGACAACTACCATTATACTTTTCTGCCTTTGTGATTTAAGTGTCTCGTGTAAATGGAATCCTACAGAATTTGTCTTTTTGTGATTGGCTTATTTCACTTAGTATGATGACCTAAAGTTTCATCCATGTTGTAGCGTATTAAATTTCCTTTTTAAGGCTGAATACTGTTCTGTATGTATATGCCACATTTTTTTATCTGTATGTATATGCCACATCAGTGGACACTTTGGGTTGCTCCCATGTTTTAGCTATTGTGATTAATGCTGCTATGAACGTGTGTGTGCAGGTATCTCTGTGAGATCCTGCTTTCAATTCTTTTGGGTCTGTAACTGGAAGTGGAATTGCTGTTTTTTAATGTTTTGAGGAGACTTCATACTGTTTTCCACAGTGGCTGCACCAGATTTTCCCACCACAGTGCACCAGGATTCCAGGTTCTCCATGTCCTCGCCAAAATGTGCTTTCTGGTTTTGTGATAGTAGCCATCCTGATGGGTGTGAGGTGGTACCTTGTAGTTTTGATTTGCACTTCTCTAAGGATTAGCGATACAACTTTTGATGCACTTGGCCATTTGGAGATTTTCTTTGGATAAGTGTTCAAATCCTTGGCCCACTTTTCAAGATGTTTTTTCTCTTTTTATATCATATGATATAAAACAGATCATATGATTTGGAAATATTTTCTCCCATTCTTGGGTTCCCTTTTTACTCTGTTGATAGTGTCTTTTTTTTTTTTAAGTTTATTACTATTTTTTTAGTAATCTCTACAACCAACGTGGGGTTTGAACTCACGACCTTGAGATCAAGAGTCACATGCTGTTCCCCCTAAGCTAGCTAGGTGTCCATTGTCTTTTGATGCATAACATTTAAAAATTTTCATGAAGTTCAATTTGTTTGTTTTTCCCTTTTTTTACCTATACCTCTGGTGTCATACCAAGAGATCACTGCCGAACCTAATGTTAAGAAGCTTTTGCAATATGGTGTTATTGAAGGGTCCGGCATCATTCTTTAGCATGTGGATATCTAGTTTTCCAGCACCATTTGCTGAGTAGATTGTCCTTTCCCCATTGAACCTTGTCAAAAATCACTTGACTATATATGTGAGGGTTTGTTTCTGGGCTCTCTGTATTCCATTGGTCTATGTGTCTCTCTGTGCTAGTACCACACTCTTGATTACTATAGCTTTGTAGTAAGTGTTGAAATCAGGAAGTATGAGACCTCCAGTTTTTTTCTTTTTTCTTTCTTTTTTTTTTTAGATTGTTTTGGCTATTCAGTATCCCTTGAGATTCCATATGAATTTTAGGATAGTTTTTTTTTTTTTTAATGTTTATTTTGGAGTGCAAGTGAGGGAGGGGTAGAGAAAAGAGGGTTTGGGAGATCTGAAGCAGACTAGTTGTTGACAGCAGTAAGCCCAATGCTGTTTAACTTTTAAAAAAATTTTTTTTTTTAACGTTTATTCATTTTAGAGACAGAGACAGAGCATGAATGGGGGAAGGTCAGAGAGAGGGAGACACAGAATCTGAAAGAGGCTCCAGGCTCTGAGCTGTCAGCACAGAGCCCAATGCGGGGCTTGAACTCACAGACCGCGATATCATGACCTGAGCCGAAGTCGGTTGCCCAACCGACTGAGCCACCGAGGCGCCCCTAATTTTTTAAAAATTTAGTCTTATTTTAAGTTTATTTATCCATTTTAAAAAAGAGGGAGAGTAAGAATCCCAAGAATGTTCTGCACTGACAGCACAGAGCCCAACGCAGGGCTCAAACCCATGCACTGTGACACCATTACCTGAGCTGAAACCAAGAATCAGACACTTAACCAGTTGAGCCACCCCAGTGCCCCACCTTGATGCCATTTTAAATGGAATTGGTTTTTAATTTCCTTTCTGGATTGTTCATTGTTAGTGTATAGAAATGCAACTAATTTTTGTGTGTTGACTTTGTATCTGGCTACTTTGCTGAATTCATTTATTCAGACAGTGTTTTTGTGGAATCTTCAGAGTTTTTTACATATAAGATCTTTTACATAAGATTTTTACATATCATCTGTAAAAAGCTAATTTAACTTCTTCCTTTCCAATCCGAGTGACTTCTCTGTTTTTCTTGCCTAATTGCTTTGGCTGGAACTTTCAGTACTGTTAAATTAGAAGTGGTTAAAGCAGGCATACTTGCCT